AAAAAAAAAAAAAAAACTCGTACAGGACCCCTATCGTACGAGTAGCGTACGAGTACGATCTGTACTCTGGTACGTGTACGGGGGCCCGTACAAGTCGCAACGCAGGTCTTTTGCAACCGCCATATTCCAAAATGTATTTGGTCATGGATGCATCTCCCCAAGTGGCCGTTTTTACCGTTAAGGTTTTTTTCTCTTTTCTTTTCTTTTCTTTTCTTTTCTTTTCTTTTTCCTTTTCCTCCTTTCTTGGACAGTAGGGACCTGCCAGTCCCTACTTGTGGCAGTCCCTACTGACGGCCAACTCACTCACTCCCTCTCACTTTTTTTGTCTTATTCTCCCACATTTTCCTTTTCTTTTCTTTCTTTTTCTAGCATGCCAAATATCAAGTGGCTGTTAAGGCCCTTTTCTAGGCCCTTCCTCTTACTTTTGGCCCTTCCTATGCGCATGGTGCAGTCCGTTACATCTCGGACTGCAATAATGGTTCCTTCATGCCCATGGGAGCTTCCTTTTTCCTTTATTTTTCTCCCACAGTAGCCCCTCCTACTCCAATTTTTTCCTGGAGGCCTATTTTTCACATGGAGTCTCTATTGACTCCATTTTCTTGAGGGAGGCTGGTCCGAGGTTTTTCGGATTGCTCCCATGCCTCCCACTTCACGTTTCTTTACTTTTTCTTTTCTTTTTGACCTCCCCATTTGCTACCACTAGTGCTTGCACTAGTAATGCTAATATTTTTGGCCGTCATGATCCCGATCTTGACGGTGCTTCTTCTTTGAATTTTTTTCCACTTGTGCCACTCCGCTGTTCTCTCTTGAGGCCTTCTCATGTCCCCGCCACTTGTCCCACCGGTGGTCCACACACTTTGTCCCGCCGGCGGTCCCCGACACTTAGTCCCGCCGGTGGTCCCCGACATATTTTTTCCCGGATACCATTATTTTTACTTAGTTCCACATGACCCCTGGTGCCTTTCCCCAAGGTGTCCCACGTTCTTTGGGCGTCTACCGCCCCACGACGACCCCTTTCCCTTGTCTTTCTCGGGCCTCGCGCACGCGGTTTCTCCAGTCGCGGCCCTCCAATCCGTGGCTCCTCCTAATTGTCATAAGCGGCCCCCACATTGGGCCCTTATTTTCTAGCGTCCCATGGTCCCCGGGGCCGTCCAGCTTCCGGCTGCCCTATTCTTTCGTCGTCCGCCGCGTCGCATTTTGCAAGTTGACGGCCCCTTGGCCTTAGTCATGCTGAATCTAGTGACCCTCCTGGCTCCATGCTATGCCTCTATGTGCCCATGTCCTCGCGCTTACTTGCTTGCCGTTGCTGGTTCTTTCCCCCTGCGGTTCTCAACCCAAGGCGTCGTTCCTTCCGGCGGCCTAGTCCTTTGTCTTTTCTCTCCTTGCTCCAGATTTCTCTGGCGTGCACAAATTGGCTATATACAGACTCTCGAGTGACGGGATGTTATTCGGGACCCACTGGTCCCGACACCGGTCCAGTAGGTCTAGGTCTAGAGGAGGCTAGCCTATTAATACGACTGAGCCGGTAGCTTAGGGACTTTTGGCTTCTCATTTCGAGGATGCAGCATTGTGAGCCAAGGAAGTTGGTGGTGGTGACTGTCTATGTGCGGCATCCTGAGACCCTCGCCGCAGACGATAGCCATAGCCAGCCTTCTGGAGGTTGCCATAGCTGGAGCATCCACAGTGCAGATACCCCCAGGGTATCTGCATCTGGCTGGGCTAGACCGAGGCTCTTCACTGGGTACTCGTGGGTGGACCACTGTCGCCCATCTCGCATCTGGAGATATTAGGGTTGTGTCAGTGGTGCGGCGGCCATAGCTGTCTGTTTCCTCGCCAGAGTCTTTCATCAGCGCTGAAGACTTCATCCCCGGACCTGTTCTTCATCTGGGCGGTTGGCGTTGGCCTCTGGGAGGCCTTCTCAGTGTTGCGCTACTAACTGGGTGTAGGGTAGAGAGTGGAGTGTGGAGTTCTGAGGGTGGCGAGATACTAAAACAAACTTTGTAACGATAATTGGTTCGAGTTGGCTCATCATGAGTGTAAATCCTATTGTTATCCTCGCAGGCGTCTTCTTGTGATTGGTTGTTGGGAGTATTGTCAGAGAGTGAGAAATACTGTGTTTCTCTCCCCATCTGTGCATGGTTGTGTTTCGCTGCTTACTTTGATCTGTGTGCAATTTGGACTTTGTCTCCTCTCCCCCTCATCTTATGCATGTATGGGCGTGTATGAGATTGTATGTGTGGGAGTGGCGGTGAAAATCGTCAGACAACCAAGTTCATAACAGTTGGTATCGGAGCTGTGTAGGATTAGGGACACTGAGGGTTGAGCGCAACAAGGGCATCTTCTTCTTCTGAAGATCTTTTGAAGGGAGTTCCATGGTGGTTCATCTTCTTCAGGGCTGAAGCAGTGGAGAAGAAGATTTGCAGACGACGAATTCAAGTGTACAGTGTCTGGATTGACCAAGCGCACTGTCCCTGCCAGAGCGCTTGTTAGAAGTGGCGAGTACAGGGCTACTTCGCCAAAGTTAACCCTGAGTGCAGATGAGCGATTTGCCTCAGAGTGGCGACTTGCCCCTGAACACTGGGGATAACTGAGTGGCGACATCATCCCTGAGGAGCGCTGAGCTAGGTTGATTGCTAGAGTCAATCCCATGCAGAGTTGACCCCAACTGGGGCTAATTATAGCATCAGCGGCTAACTGGGTCAGTGGCGAGAAATCTCCAGTTGACTGTTAGATCGCCACTGGACTGGATTCAGTGAATCTAGTATGAGGAGGTTTTGTACGTGGAGATGAGAGGAGGAATATCTGGAAGCAACTGGCGAGATGAGGGTTTCAGTCTGCCATAGCTAGATCTTCATCATCTTCTGAAGACTACACTGAAAGTGAGTACGTTCCACACAGATCTATGTATAGCGAAGTATTAAGTGTCAGTATAGTCAGAATTGATGGTCTATCTGTCTGCCAGAGTCCAAATTTAGTTTTGTCAGACTGCATGACAGCCATAGCCATCTTCTCCCTATCTTCACTTTCTCATATCTCCTCCTTTGCTGACTCTTTTGTCTCAAATATGTTCTGAGACTGCATGACAGTATTGTGCTGAATCCTGTATGCTCAGAATGTGACTTCTGTACTGGAAAACTACTGATACTGTGGATTGTAATTTTGCGCTGAGTCTAATTATAGCCTGGGCTATCTAGGGTTTCGCAACTACAATTCTGCCCGTCAGAATTCAATTATGTCGGTCTGTAGTGAATCGCAATTCTGTTGTTGTCATCCTTACAAAAGCGCTTAACCAGATTATCAGTACTTGAGTAATTACAGTGAAGACTGTAAATCGCCATACCTCTGGGTATAGCTGTCAGAGTCAACAACGACGAAATTTGAGTCTGTGGTAGGATTGAAGGTTACTGATTACATCGTTACATCTTGTTGGTCTGGGATTGTCTGTACTTACCACTCTTTCTCTTTCCCACTGTATTCTTTTGTTTTCTAGTGGGCTCTAGAATTCTAGGATATCTCTGGGAACATTGGAATTGCTTGTACTAACTCCAGTTAAGGTGCAGGGTCAGTAAAAGGAAATCGTGTGACTGATTTTACTTGACTGTCTGTCTATCTGACCGCTGACCTCCAATCGTCCATTGCCCATTCACCCACCTACCTCTGTGAGAGGGAGAGCAGCGATTTCTGAGTGTCTGAAGGAAATTGTATATTGCTGCATGCTCCCTGTTTGTCTACTAACTACTGTTAATTTGAAAGTGGAAAATTGCGAATCAAGGTGTTCAGCAGCAACCACAAGGAGAAGTAGAATTGAAGATAGAAGTTCCACAGACTTCTGCCTCCCCCTCTACTACACCCCTGACCGCTACTCAGCAGAAGAAGGAGTTACAGGATAGACTGCAGCAGGAGCAGGCGCTGCTTGCAAAACTTGAGAGACAGGAGGCAGTCGAGCTGGAAGCTGCAATAGATGCTTCACGTAGTGAGTATCTGTTGGAGCAGTTGACCAAAACCATGTCAGATGAGCGCTGCACCCAGGTGACCAGGAACTTGGCAAAGTGGGCCGTTTTGGAACACAAAGCCACCAGTTCCTATTTCACCAACTGGGATGATCGCATGGGCCGTCTGGAGCGCGGAGTTGATGACCTGGCGACTCAACAGTCAAAGCTACTGGATGCGATTGAGGCTCTGACTGCTCAGCTGACAGCAGCCAAACTGATTACTCCCCAGCCACCTGTACCCAAAGTAAAACCTTCTCCTTCTCTTATTTCATCTCCCTCTGGTTCACGCCATTCTTCTCTTTCACCACCTCCCTTCCACAAAGCCACGGGCCGCCCAACGCTTGAATCTGCCCATGCAGGTGATCAAAGGGGACCTAAGATCCCAACCCCAACAAGTTCAAAGGGGATGACCCGAAGGTCGATGTTGGGGACTGGGCTGCAGGTACCAAAGCCTACTTGAGAGGCTTCACATGTGCAGAGCAGACCAAGGTTGCAACGGTGCTGGGACTGCTGGAGGGACCCGCTTTGAAGTGGGCCACCTCAACCTCCAGCAGTCTGGAGCAACGTCTGGAGGATTGGGCTTTTGGGTTGGGGGTGGACAGACTTCTGCAGGCCCTAGAGGACCGCTTTGCAGACAAGGAGCGGGCCCGCAAAGCTACCGACAGGATTGCTCGCCTGGGGCAGCAGCGCTATAGCGGGACACTGCAGTCCTTGTTTGCAGAGTTCGAGCAGTTGACCTCTACCCCTGGGCTGGTCATGTCAACAGATGATCTGTTGACCAACTTCTGCAGAGCTGCGTCTGAGAAGTTTGCAGTTGCTTTGTACAGTGTTGGGCATAAGGATTGGAGATCCTTTGGTCGTGCAACCCTGGACATGGAGGCGAAACTTCATGTTCAGGCCCCTTCTTCTGACAAAAGAAAAGGAGCCTTCCCTCCTGGTGGCAGGAAGGGAAAGGCTGCCTTCACTCATGTAGGATCTGGATCAGCCAGTGATTCAGACTCCCAGGTTGGTGTACCATCAGCTGGGACTGAGTCAGCTGCTGATACAGATGTTGCAGCGGCCCTGACTCAGGCTGTTTTGGGAGTTCTGCAGCAGCAGAAACGGTTTTCTCCCTCCACAGCCTCAACTAGTTCAAAGGGGAAGGACAAGGGACGTCGTCCATCCACCTCTACCCAGCGCCCTAACCTGCCAAAGGACGTCCGTATGCCAACTGACACACTCAATCCCTCCACTCTCCCCTGGCATGATCTCAAGATCTAGGAAGGAGTCTGGAGAAGAAGGAAGGATCGAGGGGTCTGCTTGTAGTGTGAGGGTCAACACTTCTTGAAAGACTGCCCTTACATGCCAGACCCGGGTCAGTCAAAAAGCTGAAGCAGACCCTGGGGACTGCAGTTCCCTCCAGTGCTGTACCTTCACTTCTAAGGAAGATGAATCTGCAGCTGCTTCAGTTGAGACACAACAAATTGTGGGAGCTGCAAGGGCAGCATCCTTTTGCTATGAGGATCCTGACCCAGATCAGGAACCGAAGGAGCATGAGATGCAGACCCTTGCTGCCTTTTTCTTTCACCTCAAAGAACAAAGGAAAGCCAAATCTGACCTCATCCTACTTCAGCCCCTGATCAATAACATCAGTATCAAGGGACTGTTGGATTGTGGAGCCACCAGAAACTTCATGTCCCCCAGAGATGTCAAGAAATTGCACCTGGGCATGAAAATTGAGCAGATGCAGCACCCGCTACAAGTCAGGATTGGTGACTCCACTACTAATCTCTATCAGGGAGAAGGTCAGGGGCATCCCTGTTACCTTCGATAGTGCTGGAGAAGTCAGACATCGTCTGAACTTCTACGTATTCCCTGATCTACCCTTTAATCTGGTGTTCTCGATGCAGTGGCTGAGGGCAGTCAACCCTAGGATCGACTGGCAGATCCCTAAGGTTGAACTCCCCAATGGACAGGGGGTGTATCACACTTGCAGGATTGCTGCTGAACACCACCCAAAAACCTCTTGCTACTGTTTGATAGCAAGAGAGTTTAATTCCCTCTCGCGCCAATACGGCCATGAGCGTCTGTTTTTAGCTTTGGTCAAGCAAACAAACGCTGCCCCTGTTTCCTGTCCTCCTGAGATACAGCAGGTTATGGATCAGTATGGTGATCTGATGCAGGAGCCCTTTGGATTGCCCAACCGACCAACCAAGCATCACATCGAGCTGCTACCGGGAGCGGTCCCTCCCAAGGGCATCTACAGGATGTCCGCTACAGAGCTTGAGGAGCTCAGAAAGCAGTTGGAGACCCTGACCAGCAAAGGCTGGATACGGCCGAGCACATCTGAATTTGGCGCACCAGTGCTCTTCGTCCCAAAAGGGAATGGAGAGTTCAGAATGTGCATCGACTACAGGGGTCTCAACAAGATCACTAGGAAAAGTACAGAGCCTATTCCTAGGATTGATGACCTGCTGGATATGGTAAAGGGTTGCACAGTGTTCAACAAAATCGACCTCAAATCTGGTTATCACCAGATTGAGATGGCAAAGGAGGATGTCCACAAGACCGCCTTCAAAACCAGATATGGTACTTACGAATATGTGGCTATGCCATTTGGACTTTGCAATGCCCCAGGTACCTTCCAAACTGAGATGCACCGCATCTTCAGGCCTTACCTGGACAAGTTCATGGTTGTCTACCTAAATGATATTCTGGTATTCAGCCGAACTGTCAGGGAACATGCGGAGCACCTGGCTCTGGTCCTTCAGTCGTTACGTGACAGCCAATATAAGATCAACAGAGAAAAAACCTCTTTTGGAGTTCCCTCTATTATCTACCTGGGTCATGTAATCTCTGGAGATGACCTGACTCCTGAAGCGGCCAAGATAGCTGTGGTTCAGGAGTGGCCACAGCCACAGACAGTGAGGGATGTCAGGTCCTTCATGGGTTTGGCCTCGTACTACAAAAAGTTTGTCATGAACTTATTTGCAGTGGCTGCGCCCTTGACTAACCTAATAAAGAAAGACACTCCTTTCCTTTGGTCCCTTCCCTGTCAGTTGGCCTTCACACGACTCAAGAAGGCCTTGACTCGTGCACCAGTGCTGAAGTTGCCTGACCCCACTTTGCCATTTATCCTGACCACTGACGCAAGTCAGTATGGCATTGGGGCAGTTCTTCAGCAGGATGATGGGAATGGTCTACTGCCCGTAGAGTTCATGAGTAAGAAGATCAAAACCCAGAAGCTTCAAGACTCTACCTATGAGAAAGAGCTATATGCTCTTGTCTGTGCCCTAAAGCATTGGAAACACTTTTTCCTGGGCAGGCACTTCAAGATCTTCTCTAATCATTCCACCTTACAGTGGATGAAGTCGCAGGGAGAGTTAAATGACAAATTGGCACGTTACATTCAGTTCATAGACATGCTTGACTTTGAACTGAAACATAAGAAGGGCTGCTACAATAAAGTAGCAGATGCCCTCTCTCGTAGGCCTGACTCTTTTGCGTTGATCTCCTCCACTCAATCCTTCGGAGAGGAGACCCGTCAGACCATTGCTCGTCTACTGCCTCAGGACCCGACTTACGGACCCATGGTCAAAACTCTGCAAGCGGATCCCAACTCTGAACCCGGATATGCCCTAAGTTCAGACTTGCTGTACGCTTACAGCAGAGGTGAGGAACGCTTGTGCATTCCCCAGGACCAGCGTCTCAGGACATTGCTGATGTCAGAATGTCATGATGCACGCAGACATTTTGGGTTCTTAAAGTTATATGCCGCCCTGTCGCAGCGCTTCTTCTGGAAGGAGATGCGGAGTGATCTGCTGCACTATATTGAAACCTGTGAGCTCTGCCAGAGAAACAAGGTCCAGCGTAGACCTCCTCTGGGACTGCTCAAACCCTTACCCATACCTGATGGTCCTACTGAATCTGTGTCCATAGACTTTACAGATCTAGGCAAGACCACCCCTCGTGGCATGCGTCAGGTAATGGTCTGTGTGGACAGGTTCTCTAAGTACGCAAAGTTTATCCCCTTGGCAGAAGTAGCTAGGGTCCCCGCTGTGAGAGCAGTGTTTTCAGAGAGCTGGGTCACTCACCATGGACCACCCACTTCTATAGCCAGTGATAGAGATCTGCGATTCTGCAGCAGTGAGTGGCAGTTCTATTGCAATGAAATGGTATTTACCACTTCGCAGTAGCTGATGCAGATTCCAGGGCTCGATCCCTAGTTCCCCGCCTTACCTGTGTACAGTAACGGTGTCAACCCGTAGATTTGAACCTGCGACCTGTAGGCCCGCCAGTGGTAGGTAAGATTTCGTAGGTTACAGGGTAGAAGGGAGTCGAACTGTAGACCTGTCRCGTAGGAGTCTAGGCAGTCTAGAAGTCTTAGCTGTGGACTGTCTGAAGGGTCAAAGTCGTAGCTGCTACTTACCTGAAAGGGCAGAGTCGTAGCTGCTACAGTCCCGAAAGGCCAAAGTAGAGGGTTCTAGAAGTGGCCTTTCGGAGCCAGCCCCTGTTTCGGTAGAGGCAAGTGGTCAAGTGGTGTAGGTCCACCACGCTGAGTCAACAGTCCCAGTTCAGTCAGTCCGGTCCTGTCCAGCAAGTACTGTCTAGGACTGTTTGCACCAGGGGGCCAGGGTTACAGGGCAGACCAACGCATCCCAGAAGTATAAATCAAGAGGTCGCGCCCAGCCATTCATTCATTCTTGCGGAAGCCATGCGGAAGCGCTGCCTCAGCTGCTTGTGCGAGGAGGTCTGCAGTGTGCCCGAAGTCGAAGTGGGCAGAGAAGCGTAGCATAGCGATAGGGTAGAGGCCGCTAGCGCTGCGGTAGCTATAGTAGTAGTGTGTGTGTGTGTTGCGTGAGTGTGCAGAGTGTCGTGTGTGGGATATCCAGGGTGATCCAGCGTGTGAACAGTGGATGTTGGGCGCTCAGTCGCCATAGCCAGTGGAAGTGAACTTACCTGGAAGCCATATCTCTGTGTACTGTGTGGGCGCATGTCGCCAATTTGTTATGTTGCTGTTCACGTGCATGAAAAGAGAAAGAGTCGAGTCTGATTGCACTGGTATCGGAGCTGGTTCCCGCTATCCCATGCGCGCCGTCGTGTGCAGGGCCGATGCGCCATAGTTGAGGTGGCCGCTGGAAGGAGAAGGCCGCCATAGTGGACCTGAGGTGGAGGAAGGAGCCGCCGCGCACCTGCAAGGAGACCACGACGAAGGAGAAGAGAGAGAGAGAGAGAGAGAGAGAGAGAGAGAGAGAGAGAGAGAGAGAGAGAGAGAGAGAGAGAGAGAGAGAG